TTCTCTCTTGCCACCCTCACCTGTCCACATTCTCTTCCCTTGACCCATCTCTTCTGGAAACCTTATCCTCTGACAAAGGCATTAAGAGCCAAGCCAGGTTGACACCAGAATCCCACCCCCAAATCCAGGACAGTGCTGGGTACATCTCTAGAAAGAGAACGTTGGCGATGGCCATTTATAACATTCAATAATGAAAATGGCAGTCGGGCTGGGGCAGGGCTTAGTTGGTGGAATAGTTTCTGGAAGCCCCGGGGCTGAACGGGAGCACTGCATAAACCAGGCATGGTGACACATTCCTGTAGTCTTGGGACTTGGCGGCGGAGGCCATAGAATTCGAAGTTCAAGTCATCCTTGGCTATTTGGTGAGTTCAAGGCCAATCTGGGCTACATAATAATTTCTCTCTCAAGAAAATAAAAAAAGCAAGCGAGACAGTTTACCAGGTAAAAGTTCACTTTGCACACAAGTCTGATGATCTGAGTTCCATCCCAGGAACCCACATAAAAGCCAGGTGCAAGGGTACACAATCCTACAGCGAAATGGGATACGGAGATGGGAGGACAAAGCCTCACATGTGTGTCATAGTATGTATGCTCGCACAACCGTCACACACGCAATAAATAACAATAATAATAGGAAGGTTTGTGTTGTTGTTTTTTGAGGCAGGGTTTCTCTGCGTAACAGTCCTGGTTATCCCGGAACTCACTTTGTAGACAAGGCTGGTCTCAAACTCACAGAGATCTGCCTGCCCCTGCCTCCTGAGTGCTGGTGTTAAAGGTGTGCCCCACCACAATGTGGTCAATACTTTGAGGGGGAGGGGGTGGCTAATACCTGTTAATAATCATTTTCACCTTTACATGTGGAAGTTGAGAACTGACTTCTGAAAGTTGTCCTCTGACTTCTACACAGATGCTGGGGCATGAGTGTGTGCCCACACTCACACAAATTTTAAAAAAGAACTCAAATGGCAGGGCTGTGGTGGCACACGCCTTTAATCTCAGCACTCAGGAGGATCTCTGAGTTTGAGGCCAGCCTGGTCTACAGAGCAAGTTTCAGGACAGCTAGGGCTACCCAGAGAAACCCTGTCACACACAAAAATGAGAAAGGGGAGGGGAGAGAATTTAAATGGCACAAGGCACTGCACATGAAACACTTTACACACGTAAGCATATGAACAGGCACCTTCCAGATCGTATAAAAGCCTTGCTGCCCCTTCTATAGAACTTCTCTGTTGGCAGTATTAATATCCCTGCCACAGTGCCCAGTCTATTGTTGACTCAATTTTGCTAGCTTTTCAGTTATTTATCAAAGCGACTGTATCCCACACCGGGCTGTGAACACTCTGAGGGCTAGGACCCTGGCACATTAATCACTATTAGCGTTGGCATCCCACGGTGACCGGCATATAGTTGCTGCTCATTAAATGTTTGCTGATGAAGTGGAGTACCTAACGCTGTCTCCCAGCGTTCCTGGAACTTTAAAGACTGTTCTTTAAAATGCCATTTTCCTGGCTGCATCCTTGGGACTGGGGCTACGGGGAAGTATGATCCAAAAACTGATGGGGGCCTGACAGCTGTGCTGACAGGGTGGGACAAGGTAAGTGGAAAAGAGAGAATAAGTGTCCACATACACCAAAGCCATCTGTAGGCCTACTGGATCTTCTAGGGTTATTTGTTTTTTTTAATAATTTATTTGTTTTCTATGCATTGTTGTTTTGCCTGCATGTTTGTATGTGAGAGTATTGTATCCCCAGGAACTGGAGTTGCGGACAGTTGTGAGCTGCCATGTGGGAGGTGGGGATTGAACTCGGGTCCTCTTGAGGAGCAGTCAATGCACTTAACCCCTGAGCCGTCTCACCAGCCCTTATCCTATTTTCTAGGTTTTTAATTGCATCTTTATTTTTTTTTTAATTTCCCTTCCTAGTCATGTATTCCCACTGTATTTGCAATAGTGTCAGCTGTGACCAATTAGAAATGTAAAAATAGCAGGGGCCCTGATGGAGCGCGCCTATAATTTCCAGCACTTGGGGGGCTGAGGTAAGGAGACTGCCATGAGTTGGAGGCCAGCCTGGGCCACTAAGACTCTGCTGCAATAAGTAAGTAGACCTGGTTCTTAGTCACAAGTGATCTGAGAGGTTTGAGACCTTCTGTCTCACCGGAGTGTCTGCCACCATCCATGGGCGTGCACACACACACACACACACACACACACACACACACACACATTGCTACTGTCCTTACATTTCTCTGCTATCTGAGGGTGTTTCTGAATGAAAGCTGATTCCTGCTTGGATCTAAGACTGAACAGAGAGGCTGGAGAGATGGCTCAGTGGTTAAGAACACTGCCTGCTCTTCAAAGGGACACAGGTTCAATTCCTGGCACCCACACGGCAGTTCACAACTGTCTGTAGTTCCAAGGGATCTGACACCTTCACACTAATGCACATAAAATAAAGTTAAATAAATAAGACTGAACAGAGGGAGTGATGAGAAGAGTGTGGGAGGGCTTGGGCAGCGGAAAGAAGGTTCAGATGGGGCCAAGCAGGTCCAGAGCAGGGTGAGGGGAGACCACCCAGGAGCCCGGGCTGTGGGGACAGGGTGATGGCAGAGGTTGAGCTAGTGTTGTCCCTGGCAGAGAGCCAAGCCTTTGAAGGTAAAAGGTTGCAGTGTCTAGACAAATACAAGGGGATACTGAGAACTGTTGAACTGCGGCTCTCAGAACAAGTTGGATCCTGGCATGAAACCCAAGGACCGGCTCCAGCCTGGGGTCCTGATGGAGTTAAGGTCACGGAATAACACAGCCAGGGTGAGCCGGACTGGAGACACTCCCGGGGAATAGGTATTCACAGGCTCAAAGCCAGATGAATCAGGGCTGATTTCTGCGAGCTGATGGCATTAGCATATTTAAAGATCATGTCAAGGGGAGGAGGGTGAGCTCAGAGCTGAAATCCGCTGCTGTTTACTGAGCCCCAGGAGTCAGAATCCAAAGAAAGGCAGCCAGCCCTGATGCTGTCCTTCCCCCACAGACTATACTCCAAGGCCAGGGCTGAGATATGGCCCTGGGGCTCCAGCTAGCCTCTTCTCCCTCCTCCCATCCGTCAGTCCAGGGTTCCAGGGCCCTTCTCAAGAATCTCCTTCCTGCCAAGAATTTCCTGGAAGAGCACCTGGTGCACTCTATCTTGATGATGACCATGGGAGGGGCACCGTGCCAAGCGCTCCCCCTCCAACCCCCCCACCAGGAGGTACACATTTCCGTGCCCATTTAATAAGTGAAAATATTGACGCCCTGTTAAATCATTCTCTAGAGCTGTCCAGCTTGAACTCGGAAGAGCCTAGACTCCAGCCCAGGCTGCCTGACTCCAGGACCAGTAGGCTACCTGGTCACTCTGCATTTCCCTTTTGCTGTAGGGGACAGTAAGTTGGCAGACTGGTTAGTTTGTCCATAAGTCGGTCTCTCTGGGACTGACTGGAGTGAGTCACTGCCCTGAACCTGAAGACACAGGACTTTGCCTCACTGGAATGCGCTCTCTCATTCCTCAACGGCTAAGCCCATGTGACCAGTAGGTTGAGCTAGTGCTCCTGGAGCCCCAGCACCCCCAAATCCATCAAGGCCAAGCCTCCCAGGGACACTGAGCTGGGAGTACGGAGATTTGAACAAGCCACGCTCCCCTGTGCCTCAGTTTCCTCACCAATAAACGATCACTTCACCTACAGCAACCCCAGCTCCAAAATGACTATCAGCCGGGCACCTAGCTGCGCTGGATCTTGCCCAGTGTGCCGAGAACAGAGGATAAGGGAGAGGGGTCGCACAAAGCAGAGCCCAGAGACGTCAGGCTCAGCCGGACTTTAAAGGGAGCTGGTCCCAGCCCTGGGAACTTGCCTCTCTCTCTCAGTGCTTCTGCGTACTCGGGAGCACGCACCGCGGGCGCTGGAGACCCGGTTCCGAGGGGTGAGGATGTATCTGCCCCGGGAGGGCGGAAACTAGAACAACAGTCCACCTAGCGAGCTGTTTTTCAGGCCGGAGCGCAGTTAGATAGCCAACCCAGAGGAAGACCCCAGATCTGGCGGGACAGCGTTCCAGCCCCGAGAGTTTGGCCAGGAGGGGGCGCTGTGGCGCCCTCCGCGCCCTCCAGGCTGGGTTCCCAGCTGCGTCCCCAGCGTCGCGGCGCACTGCGCGCCCCGCTCTCCCCTCCTTAAAGTCCAGGCGCCCAGCCCGCCGTCTCCACTTCATCTTGGAGACCCGAAGTAGGGCCTGGACCAAACTGACAGACTCTTAGTATGACAAAAGGAACGAATGGATGAACGACTGAGAAGGGAAGGGCTCTGCCGCAGAGCTTTGGCGTCTCAGCACTCCCTGGGTGTGTCTAAGCCAGAAACGGGCGAAGGGCTGGGACTGCAGGTCCACCCCAGGCTCCCGTCCCCACCGAGGTGGGGGAGGCTGCGGACCTCCCGGCTGGCCGCGAGGCGGGAACGACCCAAATGTAGTTCCTGGCTTCTTGTTTGCGCGTAGGCTGAGCTTTGTGGAGCTCGCCCTATTCTCTCCAGCTCCTCCCAGCCTCCTAACCGCCCCCTACCCGAGCCCCGCAAGTATCCCGAGCCCCCCCGGGAACGCCCCCCCCCCGGTCTCCACATCCAGCCGCACAGGAGGCTAGAGGAGAGAGGCTGCCGGCTCTCCAGCCACCGGATCCCAGCCTCCCCCCCCCCCCCCGCTGCCGGGGCCGCCACGGCTGCCCTCGCGCCCCGCCGCAAGCCAGGGTGCGGGGAGAGGGGGTCCAGCCCAGCCAGGGCCGGGGGCCGGGGCTGGACAACGAACCGAGGAGGCGGGAGCCCGCAGCCGGCGGAGGGGCGAGGCGCGGGGGGAGGGACCAAGGGGGAGAGGAGGAAGAAAGAGGAGGGGACGCAAGGCGAGGGGGCGGGGAGCCGAGGCGAGAGGCGGGCGGGCCGTGGGGGAGGCGGCGGGGCGGCGCGGGCTCCAGGCAGCAGAGAGGTGGCCGGGCTGAGCCGGGAGGCGCCGGCCAGACCTGCTCGCCGAGGGAGAGCCAGGGCGAGGCGGGGCTGGAGGGCGCGAAGCCAGGCGCCGAGGCGCAGCGCAGCGGGCCCCGGGGAGGACCGGCCGCCCACCAGAGACCGCAGCCGCCCGCCTTCCGCCCGGGGGATGTCGGAACGACCCGGGCATCGGGGACGCTGACGGAGCCAGACCGAGGATGGGACGGCGCCCGCAGCTCCGGCTGGTGAAGGTGAGCGCGGAGCGACCCCGCCGGGCATCCGGGGAGCCCCGGGCGGGACGAGCGCAGGGCAGGCGTGGGCAAGGGTGCTGGGGGGAGGGGACCCGGGAAGCCGGCGCGCCCCGGGAGGCTGGGGCGCAGCCCGCTGTCCTCTTACCTGGACCCCCGGAGCCGAGCTACCGAGGCAGAGGGAGAACTCCGGTGCGGAAAAGAGAGGGTAGTGGCGAAGCCGCGGCGCTGCCGGAGGAGGAGGAGGGGGTCCGCCCACTCGAGGAACCCCGGCTTGGCGCGGAGAAGCGCTGCGGTTTTGGTGGCCCGAAGCGCCGTCCCCTTCGGGGCTCGGAAGGGGGTCCCTGACCCCGCCGGACAGACACCCTCGGAGCCGGCCCTGTCCGGGTCCCGGGCGCGCTCTCCTGCCGGTTCCCAGGTTCGGGAGGTAGACGCGGCCGGCGCGCCGCGGCCCTCGATTCCCGTAGCATCTCCGAAAGGCGACGGTGCCGCGCGCGCCCCGGGGTCCGGCCGGTCCTCTGGGGCGCCACAGCCCCGGAGCGCGACGCCGTCTCTCTCTCGGCGCGCTCGCTCCTGCCGCCGGGCTTGGGGGAAGCGGTTCCGCCCGGAGTTTTCGGAAAGTCTCCAGCGAAGTTCGGGGGCTGCGCAGGGGTGGGCAGAGCCCGGGAAGACCTGGGTGCTTCTCAGTGCGGCGGCAGCCTGGGGACCCGGGCCACTCTGCCCGTGCCCAGCGCGTCTCGGCGCCCGCGGGTTCGCTGGATGCCAGCACTTCAGGACCGGTGCCTGGGAAGGTGAGTGGGCCTGGATAACGCAGCCTGGCCGCCCGGGTTGCCATGCGGGGGTCTCGGGGCTGTGCAGGGGCGACAGGGACCTCCTGAGCCCCAAGCAGAGACATCTGGTCCCAGAGCGATTGTGTTCGAGACGTTTAAGTGGATTTGAGAGGTGCTGACTGACAGACCGATTTTTCCATCGGTTGTTAAACAGACTGCACATTCACTTGCTCGAAAAGCGTGAGTTAAACCACCACGCCTCTAAAATGTGACTGACCGTTCCGCTCACCAGTGGCTTGGGTTCCCATGTCCTCCCTCTCCAAAGGCTCAAGGGTTGTCTTCAAATCTAAGGGGGTCTCAGTGAACCGAAGGGCTGGAGCCCGAGATTGTTTTCTGGGCAACCAGAGTCCCCCACAAGTGGGGAGATTGAATAGATAAGCATCGATGGAAGTATTTTCCAAAGCTTCCTGGGTACTGAGCCTTGATCTAAATTCACAGGGAGGTTAGAATGCAGTCTTTAAAGCGAATTAAAAAAAAAAAATCGGCTATGGATTATCTCCAAGTTTACATGGAAATGGATCCATGTTCTTTCTGAAGCCATTCTTAGAATTTGTGTGCAACGACCTATTTAGAATACCCATATTTTCTTAAAAGGTCCTTTTTTTTTTTTTCTTGTTCCTACTGGCTACTGGGAGATGGGGGACTTATCCTACCCGAGACACCCAGCGTGTGCTCAGGAAACCCACCGAGGAGCAGGGAAGGTGGTATTTGTATGGCACGCACATTTGCCAGTGTCTGCCTAGCTGCTTTGTAAATATCAAGTCATTCAGCCGTCATAACAGCCCAAGAAGTGGGAATTCTATCTCAGGCAGAGAGAATCTAAGCTGCTTGTTGAGAGAGGGGCACTGTGAGGTTGGCAGTCAACAGCCTGACCCTGTTCTTAGCGCCTGCGCACAGAATTCGCTCCTGCCTAAGTCTTTGCTTGGCCTTCGCCAGTAAAAATTCTAGCCACTTAAAACTCACTCTCAAAGCCTGAGAGCCTTCGAGTTTCATCAGTTTGAACATCTGAATCTAGGGAACTTGGAGATCATGAAGGGCGGGGGGGGGGGGGGGGCCGGGGGCTTGGGGCGGGGGGGGAAGGCGGGGGGGGGGGGGGGGGGGGGGGGGGGGGAGCGCTGTTGCTGATGACTGACAGGAAAGCCATGCTTGGAAAAGGGTCACTCAGGAGCTTTATAGTGTGTCTTTCACATTGAACTGCTTATAGAGCATTGTGGGAGAGTGTGAGAAAGATGAAGAACGTGTGTGTGTGTGTGTGTGTGTGTGTGTGTGTGTGTGTGTGTGTGGTGTCACCCCCACTGTTCTGGCCTGGAGATAGATCTATGTTCGAGTGACAGCTGATTCCTGACGGTAACTGTAAGGGATGGACTAGACCTGGGTGAGTTCTTCAAGGACAGCGAGTGTCTAGTGGCTTCCAGAAAAAACAGTTTCATTGCTGTTGTTACTGCTTTTTGCAATTTAGAAGCATTAGGCAGAGTCTACAAGCCAGGGAAAGAAATGACTGTGCCATAGCTTCTGTGACCAGTTTAACAATAATCCCTACAGGTCCTGTCTTTAAGAACAGGTCTGAGCTGGGTGCTGTGGCGCAGGCCTGTGGTCCCAGCACTCAGGGAGGCAGAGGCAGGCGGATCTCTGTGAGTTGGAGACCAGCCTGGTCTACAGAGTGAGTGCATGACAGCCTCGGCTACACAGAAAAACCCTGTCTTGAAAATAAAATAACAGGTCTGAGCATTGCCGTGGCCATCTGACAGCCCTCTCCCTTGCTATGTCACAGCTCCAGGCTTGTCTCATGCCATTTCTGAGCCATCAGAGGGAGACTGCCCTTCTCTGTGGGAAGAGGTCCTCTCTTCCATTGTTTCTTTGCTTAAGTTAATAATGTAGTTGGGTTTCCTAGAGGTGTTGGGAGGGATAGAAGGCAAAAAAGGGGGGGGGAGCCAGGGTGGGACTGTGGGGTGTGGAGTGGCCTGGCCACAGACCTGAAGCACAGCAGGAAAGGGAGACCTAAAATGAGGGCAAACCATGGGATTTGATCTCCAGTTAAGGGGGCAACCTGGCTGGTCGGCCCCTTCCCAAAGCTTGCAGACATGAAAAAGCAAGCCACTGGCCTAGAGCTCACATGGAAAATTCATTCCTTACCCTTGCTGGCATTTGACTTCTTGGGGAGCAGCAGCAGCCAGCAAAGATCGGCCTCACAGAAGCAGTTTAGGGATCAGATGTACCCTTTGGATCCACTGCTTTAGTGTCTAAAGTCTTGCCAAGAGCCAGTGCTCTGCTCCTAGGGAGCGAGAATGATGAGGAAGTCAGCCTCAATAGAGGGACCAAGGTGCAAGGCTGAGAATTTCAGTAGGGAAACGCATAGGCCATCGCTTGGCCTGACCTTGCTGTGAGTTCTGCATCCAATGGGCTGTGTGATGTCAAGTCTCTGAGCTGCAGTTTCTTCATCTGTGCCCTGAGCGCAGAACTGATTCCCTTTAACCCATTTGTCTCTCAAAGGTTCCGTTAGGGCTGCAACCTTACTTGGGAAGAACAGGTCCAGCAAAGTGATTGCCCGGCTCTGCTCCTCTTCATCTAGGGACATCGATGTATGGAGACCAAGTCTTGTTCTCTGGGCCTTGGTAGCCCCAGCTGCCATTTTCCCTTCACAGGAGGTGTTTACCAGACACCTGGGGGCTAAGGCCAGGGTTGTTTTGTCACCCCCTCCTGTTAGTCGATGCAGTTGGGATAAAGGCCCTCCCGTGGGCCTTGGGTATCACCTCAAAACAGAGTTGCCTAAGATGAAAAGGCAGAAAAGCAAAGACACCACAGATAGGGAGAACACCAGAACCTCCCCTTCAGCCGCTGTGGTTATTAGAAAAGAGAAAAGAAAGCAGCAGGCCCCAGGACAGTTCTGGAGCACAGTGACTGGAGCCTAAGGGGGGTGGGGGAGGAAGCCACGTAGAGAGTCTGGGAACACTGAGTGAGCCCAGCAAGGTCCTGCCCTTCCTGCCTCCTTCTGGGTGACAGGAGAGCTGAGGGTGCTGTCTCTCATCTCAGATTCCACCTCGGCCATTTCTGGACTCTCTGGAAACGAGAGCCCATTGGGGACGGAAGGACAGGTGGAGATGTTGACTGCAGCTTCCTGGTCAAACAATGAATTGTTAATTATAAATGACCCCATCCTGTCAGCAGAGGCACTTGTAAGCCATACACGGAGTCCTCTTAAAATGCCCATCGCCAGCCATCTTGTTGTTGGCCAGGCATTCTCTTGTGGGAGATGAGAACATCGGTGAAGCAGATGCGGGCAAATCCCGACTCTGCTATGAGGGTCTGTGTCTGCTTCTTCATGCTTTAAAAGCTAGAGGGGAAAGACGAAGCTGGAGAGAGTGCGAGCTCAGGACAGTGCCTGCCGGGAGACCTGCTGGGAGAGTACGAGGACCTGAGAGTGGGTCCCGTCCCGGACTCCAATCATATGCAAACTTGGGCACACAGAGGCCAGGTGGATGTCCGTGTCCAGGCTGTCACTAGACGCCAGGCGGAAGTCCATGGTCCATGCTCCCACTGACTGTAAAGGACACGGAAGCGTCTTCTGCAGTGGTATTGATGACTGCAGACTCACGTTTGAGAAACAGAGACAGGGAAGGCTTCAAAAGTGACAAAAGGCAGCCGTCAGAGAGAACTCTTAAAAATTGTGGTAAGGATTGCTGAAGTGCAGCTCTCCACAATAGAGGGCCACTCGTGGGGGTGGGGGCGGGGAGGGACTCATTTTTCTTTGAGGGGCTGACCACGGGGAGTTAGACCACGCTTCAGTGGCTATAAATAGACTCGCTTTTTGTCGGGGAGAGACCCCAGGGCTGGAGGGATGGACCCTGAGAGGACTGGAAAGTAAGGGTGATGGGAGGGGGAACCTGAGCGTGGCAGCTTATAGCAACTTCAACACTGGCTGCCTATGAAGACAAGTGGATCCCTGAAGCTCATTCATTAGCCAGCCCAGCCAGCCTAATCAATGAGCTTCAGTTTCAGGGAAAGCTGCTGTCTGATAAAATACCGCTGAAGAGTCATAGAGGGAAGATACCCGATATTCATCTCTGTCCTACATACACGCGGACACACACATGCGTGCACATGTTAGCATGCATTATCCACACCAACAAGCACATATGTCACATACACAACGCAACCCACTTGCACACTCGCCCC